CGGCCCCTTCATCCTCAACCTCGACTGCGACCACTACTTCTACAACTGCCAAGCCATCCGCGAGGGTATGTGCTTCATGCTTGACCGTGGCGGCGAGGACATCTGCTACATCCAGTTCCCTCAGCGCTTCGAGGGTGTCGACCCCTCGGACCGCTATGCCAACCACAATACCGTGTTCTTCGACAGTAATATGAGGGCCCTTGACGGACTGCAGGTAAGGCTGGAAACTAGTCGAAACCAATCTGACATCGTGGTGTTTGTACTTGAGTTTGTTTAAAAAATTTCGAATTCAAATACAAACACGTTTCGATCCGTTTGAAAGAGTAGGATCAATATGATACTGGAATTACAAATTATAAGAAAGTGTTGATGATCAAATGGAATCGAATAAACAGCTGCTAAAAAACCCTTTCCGCCTCCAACCGCAGGGCCCGATGTACATAGGCACAGGGTGCTTGTTCCGACGGTTCGCGCTGTATGGGTTCGATCCGCCGGGGGAGAAGGCGAGCTGGATGAAGGGGAAGGTGGAGAAGCCGACGGCGGATGTGGAGTCGGAGATGACGTCTCTGACAGCGGATACGTTTGGCGGAGAGCTTGACACGGCGGTGCTGCCGAAGAGGTTGGGGAACTTCGCGTGCGCTGGCGGAGTGATTCGGGTGGCAGAGTATCAGTCCAGCGCTTGCCCTGATCATCACGGGGTAAGCATGGTCGAGCCTGCCCCGGCGGTGCTGCGGGCGCCAAGGCCGCCGCATTGATCCGACCGTCCGTCGGCGAAGGCCGTCTCGGTTATTTCTGCTGGTATGCTAAAAATTTCACCAAAAAATAAAAGAAAAAAAAAAGATGGCCTCGATTGGTTTCGGTTAATTATTGTTATCTTTTTATAAATTAAAACAAAATGTTAAATTGCCGCCGTCATGTTCGCGTCAGGTACGAGGACAGGACGGAGTGGGGGACCAGAGCGTGGCTTGGTTCTACGGCTCCTGACCGAGGACGTGTTACCGGGCTACCCGCATGCACAAACCGCGCTGGCGATCCATCACTGCCTCACGAAGCGCGACGTCCTTCCGCGCCTCTCCGCCCCCATCAACCTCACCGACCGCCTCCACCAGTCCTCCGCTGGCCACGGGCTTCGCGGTCGATGATCTTCTTCTCTCCGCAACAACGCCATCCTCAGCCTCCCGCAGGCTTCAACGTCCTGCCAAGCGCATCTCCTACATGAACGTCGGCATCTACCCCTTCACGCTCCGGCTTCCTCATCGTCTACGCTTCCTCCCCCGCCCTCTCCCTCATCTCCGGTCGCGGGCCAATTCACTCGTCCAGACCCGAACGCTCTCGATCCTCATACTACCCATCCTCATGCAATCTCCTTCGGCCTCATCGGCTCGCCGTCCTCGAAGTCAGGTGTACGGCAATCGCGCTCGAGACTGGTGGGCGCAACCAGCAGTTCTGGCTCCAAATATCCGGACGTCCGCGCAACTTCTACCGGCATCACAGGGGTCTGCTGAAGGTGATCGCCGCGCATCGGGAGATCTCCTTCACGCTGACGGCCAAGTCCGCGACGGACGAGAACGAGGACATCTACGCCGACCTGTACATCGTGAAGTGGTCGTCGCTGATGATCCCGCCGATCGTGATAATGATGGTGAACCTGATCGCGCTGGCGTTCGGGTTCGCGAGGACGGTGTACAGCACGGTGCCGGCCTGGAGCAAGCTGCTGGGGAGCGCGTTCTTCAGCTTCTGGGTGCTCGCGCACTTGTACCCGTTCGCCAAAGGGCTGATGGGTAAAAGAGGGAAGACCCCGACGATTGTCTACGTTTGGTCCGGGCTCATCGCGATCACGATCTCGCTGCTCTGGGTCGCGATTAGCCCGCCGAGCGGGAGCGAGGGGCTCCCTGGAGGTGGTTTCGCAGTTCCCTTCAGATGGTGGGGCCACAAAAGGAGAGGGGAAAGAGATGTTAGGAAAAAACTATTTACAATTTTCTTTTATATATATATACCGAAAAAACTAGCAGCAAACCGCAGTGGTGTGTAATAGTGTATTTTTTTTTTTTTGTGTAATCGATTTATTTTTGTCTTGTATTATTTTGTGACATCTGAGTATTTTTATTTTAATTTTTCCGCATCAATTATTGTTGCCACTGTTCTGTGCCCGCATAGGTAACCGGGGCTGTTTGTTTGCATAAGGGGAAGGGGAAAGCCAACCAAAAGTGTCAGTTTTGACATACTTTCTTGCAAAAACATGAAAAAAAAACTTGTCAAAACTGACACTTTTGGCAGGTTTTCAACTCATTTCCTCCTCTAAAAGAGGCAACCAAACACCCCCTAACTCTCAACATATTTTATCCACTGACATATACATATAAAGCTGATATATGTCTCTCTGTCCATCATTCATTATAAACTCACTGTAAAGATTCCTGCAAAATTTGAGTCCAAATGAAACAATTGATACATCAAATCCTCAACCTCTCTCTTCTTTTTCTTTTTCTTTTTTTTTTTTTTGAGGGAAAATCCTCAACATCTTTATCAACAACAGATACGTACAAAGTTAATCATGTCTCTCGGTGTCCACCACTATAAATTCACCGTCATAATTCCTGGAAATTTTCACTCCAAAACAAACAACCCATAAATCACACACGTATCACAACTCGAACATGCCTTTCAAGATGTCAACGTAAGATACAAATTCACATTGTCGATTTTAACTCCATTCACAACCGAAGAAGTGCGTCATTAGATTAGCATTGGCGTGGTGTTCCTATGGGAGGTATATCCATATCCTTGGTCGTAAGAATTCTGGCATAAAATAAACCATCACATAAACAAAAACAACTACGCATACTGAGTAATTACCCCATTCCAATAGTGAGCGATCAAACTTAAATGCAGAACCAACGTGTATCGCAATAATGTACAAACTTCACATACATGATGATAGCTATGAGAATTCACCCTAAATAAGATAATTATTATCCGATAGCAAGTTATCTAATCATATTGTCATAGTAAAGAAAGGAAACAAAACCCCAAAAAAAAAAAATCTTCGTCTGAAATCCACAGCTACTGTACACTAGGCCACTGCACATCAAGCTGTTTTTTTATGGGCCAGTTGTTCAGAAAAGAGATTTCTTTCATCAGCCTAACTAGGAAAATGTCTTGTTCACGACCGAAAATTCACAGAGCAACGAGCAGCTTCTTGGCTAAGAGAAAATAGTCATCTAACTTGTGCACAAACCATAGCAAAAGGACCATCCTGAAAAATCCAATTAGCTAATCACCTGGGCAGGAAAAACAATTTTAAGTGAAACCATTCAGATAGCTATTGACTTTGATTGTACATGGTAGCAAAGGCTACGACCACATCCGGGGGTCTACCTCCTAAAGCCAAGCTACAGATGTAGAAGTTCCAAAGTGCGACACTACAGACGGAGAGGAGATTAACATGTCTTTCAATTAGGAAGGCGCAAAAAAGAACCCATGGACCTCAATTATTTAATATTGTACATGCTATTACGTACTTGCAAATTGTTCTAAGAAAATATGTCCTGCTAATATCAAAAAAAGAAAAACGTGAAGACTGAGATCAAGTACCGTAGCAGAGTTCCAAGCCTTCTGTGATCCTATCAACATATAAATAAAGAAGCCTCTGAACACAAAAGGAAAACCAAATTCCTAAGAGCTATAGATCAGACTGCTCGAAGGGTGCACGTACAAACAGCTGACCATGAAGTGTAACTACCGCTGAAGTCTGATGTGGGTCGATCCGCGAGGGCAAGGTAACAACCTGCAACCATTTTTTTCCTTAAATAAGAAAATTGTAACAAGTTTACATTTAGTTAAAAAGGAAGAAAATAAACACCCCAACCTTTTTAAAAGGAGTAACACCCCAAGGATTATCAGGCTGCTCAGGTTCACCTGATATGATTAAGCGACCTGCTGGATCTGATTGAACATGCACCTATTTTCACACAAAAACAAACCAATTAGTTTCAATATTTCTGATGTCAGAACGATCACCAACAAGGGTCCCCTACAGTCTAACTGGTCAATTGCTATCACTATCAAAGACCATGAGTAGGAAATTCAGCCAATCTCCATGTTCTTGAATCCAAACTACTGCTAAAGAATTCAGAATCTTAGAACGACATTGATAACTGGACTGACCTTGCAGTATTAGTGTATATTGAGCATTTCATAATTCATTACTGGGTATTCGAAACTAAAAACTCACTGTTAATAGCTATAGTTTCTCATTTAGTACCCAAATCCAAACACTGATCAATTGTTGATTATGTAACATGAATAGGGTAAAGATAAAAATTCAAACATGCAAATAATGTAGATCACATATGCAAGAACAACCAGCAAAGTACATGTATTACCTCTTCACGAAGAAGACCAGGAACTAAAGCATACACTTCAAAGCAATCTTTCTGCACAAATGCACAATCCACCAGTCAAAGCTCGACAGAAGATAAAAAATTGAGTGTTATTTACAGTTACAATTATAATCTTGAAAGCATGTAAACTCCTTTTTTTGCCCAGTAAATACAAGAATTTAAACAAGCAAGACAATATGGCGGATGAGGTCAACTTACAGTTTTTTTCACATTTATTTTCACCCAATCAGCAGGTTGTCCAACATCAACAACCGTTGCTTCCACCCTGCAACAAAAGTAACCACCTTGTCAACCTGTTAACCCAGCTTTGATAGTCAAGATATAGGTAGTTAAACAAATTAAAATACCAATTTAAGCTGTATAAGCTAGGAGCATATCAATTAGCAACACGCATGTAAAAGACGATGAAGCCTAGAAAACTAAACAATTAAAAGGGAAGTATCTCTTGACATTTAATCAGCCAGCTGATCTGGACATACACAGAAGGGTAAAGCCTTTTTCAGGTGATATTTTTAATTTTATTATTACATTTATTTACTGGGAAAAAAAATATCCAGCAAAAAGGAATTCAAAAGTAATTATGAACACGAGGAATTCAAAAGTAATTATGAACACGAGATCGAGAAATCTTTAGAAAAAATAAGGATCTTAACTGAGGCTTGAAGACTTTTTTGTGAGAAACTTTAACTGCATGATCCAGGGTCGATCCTTTTTTCCTCTTCATCCCACCTAAATATAGATTAAAAACAAATTAAGTAAGAACTCAGAGAGGTCACCGCCATCAAGGCACATACCGTGGAGAAACACACCAATGTTTTTGTGATGCTTATCCCACTTCAGAAGTGAAATTGAAGTCTTGTCCTGTCAACCAAAAGATGACCAAACATACTTTTAAAGTTTTATACAAAGTAGGTAGCATGTACATAGGCTTCAGAAAAATATGCATACACATTAGAATTTAGCAAACAATACAGACCTTGATGATTGGGTCACCCACTTCACCATTACCAAGAAGCCGTGAGTGCCAGCCCTGCATGGCTCGTGCAGCAGCATCCCTTCTGGCTCTGCCAGACCCTGACGCTTGGCTTACACCAATCTGTAAATAAATCTTATGAAAAGATCATACAATACAACAAAAACTTGCCACTTTCCATGGAAATTTGTATAAAAAATCCCTTCAACCCAGAATGTTATTGTAATTTCTTCAGTCAGATATATACATAAATATCTAAGTGCTATGTAGTATGTACTAGAGCAATTTTTAAAAGCTTGGTAACACACATATCAGCTTGCATTCTAAGAAAAATAAGGAATGACATGCTACATTTTAAACGATTAATCTGACTTCCGATATAAAGAAAAACCTATTAACACTGCCTGCATAAAGCTGCATAAAATAAGGCATCATCCAAACATAATGCTTATAACCAAGCAAATTCTGTTAGGACGTTAGTACGAAATAATCATTTGGAGCAACATTCTAGTTCCATTTCAATTAACAAAATTTGTGGAAGAATGAACCTTCTTTTTATCACTATTAGCAACTCCTAAACTGAAATATATAAGAAGATTATAACAAGAATTTGACAGTAACACTTCCAAAAAGTAAAATAACGCACCAGGCAAAAATGAGGGTATCTGACTTTAAAATCAGATCAACAAGGTGTATATTCAAGTTAGAGATGCTTTTAGTCAGATATGAAGGTCAAGTGAACTATTTAATGTAGGTTGCCACGGTTGAGGTTAAAGTGAGAGAGAGAGTTTATTAAGATAGTTTGGTCATATACAACGAATGCCACTAAAGGCATGAGTCAGGATAAGATAAAATTAGCAAAGAGGACTGTCTACAGAAAAATCTATTGTTATGGAAATGCATCAGCATGACCTAGTAATGTTTCTTCTTTTTCTATTTCCCCGCTGAAGTTCAGATCATAAAAGTATAAAACATGATCAACCTTAAATAAAATATAAAAAAGTGCATGCATGCATGTGTGTGTGTGCTGTGAGTGCCGGCGTGCGTGCGTATCTGTGTAATGGACAGTAAGCTGGGTTATGAGGCAAAGCTGTGGAGAAGATAAGAGAACTGGAAAGTTGAAACTATTAAAGTGGATTTCCTGTCACAAATGAAGATGGATTTTATATCATAAGCAATGGAACACACACACACAAAATAAAAATAAAAATAAAAATCCAAACTTGTGGTAATACAGTAAAGGGACTGGAGTTTAACAAAATACAGGAGGTCAGTTTAAAAAGAGAAGCCCAAGTTAGCACAAGGTCAGAAAAGGATGGTCTGCTATCTGTTGAAGTAGCTATAAAATCATAGGCATATCAAGTCAAAGAATAAAATCATACTACATACCCAAAGTATGCATAAAGAAAGAGATTCACCTGATTCTCAACTGACATTGCCTCTGGAAGAGCAGGTATTGGAACACGGAGCTCGCCAGTACGAATTTTATGCTTTTCATACTCAAGGAGCGCCTGCAGAAAAGGAAACAAAGAACCATAAACAAAAAGGAAAAAGAGAAGGAAAATATCCACATGCAAGCCCTGCCAACATTGAATGCACACACATGGATACAAAAAACCACATTGGAAGTGAAATATCATAGGAGTACTGAATAATTGGTAATTGGTATGACAAGAATGGATTGTCAAATAGCTCACGACCAGTGAGGGCCCAACGTAAACCAAATAATAAAAAAATATATATGGCCAACCCAAAGGCAGATCAAGATCTTGCTGTTGGTCTAGCAAGTTAAGATAATTAATTTTAATGCTGATATCAAGAAGATATGAAGCCATTTAGGCAGTCAAGGGACACCAAGAATTGGCCCAGAAACTTGAATGCATAGAATAATTCAGCTATCCTAATAATTGGACAAATAAAGTTCCAACTGAATACAATCCGGGGGGAAAACTGTGTATGTGCTTAATTATCTGGAAGGAAACCGACTCAAGAGGATTTTTAGAACAGTGATTTAATAGCCTCTCGTTATTTTTTGTCGTGAATTTTCAATAACTTGATTCTTTTAAGCAAATAATCCAGGTGTTTATCTTCATATGCGAGTTAAAAGGTTGAACCATGACCATAAGAAAATAATCCCTCTCCTGAATATGAATATATCACCAACTCTATAGAGAGGTTTAGTAATTAAGTATTCACTAACAGTTTTATTAAATTCTAATACGTGCGTTATTCACTTTCTTACTTCGAAGGTTGAACGAAACAAGCCAGTTTACTCTGCAGATTTTATGCCTATAGAGTTGAACCATGACCACAAAAATAATTAAAAAAATCCCTTCCCAGATTGTATTGCTGGCTATATAGAAAACTTAAGTAATTATACTTATCCGCTAACAATTAATCAATTTATAATACGTTCATTAACTTTCTTACTTCAAAAGTTGAATGAAACAAAGCCAGTTTGCTATGCAATTTCATTCTGAGATACTTTTGTGCTTCAGGAATTAGCAACCCGGAAGCAATCAACTGATTGCTAGCAGTTGTAACTAGGCAAATTGCCTTCTTAAAGAAGCTATCAACAAACCAGAAGGCAAATAGCAATTCAACTGAAGGGGCGAAAAGAAAAGAGAATAAACAATCCATAACTTCTAAAGATGATGGTCATGATACATTGACACGTCATACATTGATGGATAAATTAAATCCAGCTTATTGATTTAGCAGTACGGATATAACCTTTTCATAGAAACATCGAAATGACCAGGAGACCGTAGTGCATGTCCTGCATAAATAAACCCATTAAGATTTTAGTCCTTCAACCAAATATAAGGCTGCAAAGCGACAAATCACTTAAATGTTTAAGCTTATATTGAATTTACTTAGCTAACGAATTTGATCTATAGGATTATGTTTATCTTCTAAATGAATGATACATGGCTAGCTAATATAAAAAATTGAGCATGACTATTATGAAAAACAGGAAAACCAAAAATGACAGAAATGATCACATCTTTTCTGATTGAAAAGGTTATCCCAACAAACCCAATTCATTCAAAGAGAAAATGACGACCGAAATCTCCAGTAAGGGTCAACTTTAAAGAGATTGTCTAACAAGATACTTTACAAGGCAATAACGAAACCCGCAATTTATTATTCATTTCTCGATTAACCTGCATCTGTTTTCACAGATATCCAATCATCTTTCCCAGAATCCCAATGATCATTCCAGGAATAACATTGCCACCGTTTACGAAAAATGTGTACTAATGAACTAGCAGAATACTCATTTCTACTCCTTGGAAAATTCTCCATTTCAAAATCATAGGGGAAAAATATCAAATCAATGCTTTCACCCAAAGGTACCCTTTTTCCATCACATATTTATTTTCTCTTTGTGTTGTTACATTATTCTGCTATCATCAAGATAAAACACTAAAATATGTCACCCAGTCCCACCATAGAAACCTGGTCTTATGACCCTTACTCTGTCCACAAATCCCAAGCCCTATCTATGGTCAAATTCTCTAGGACCCAAAGACAACCGATAATTGGAACGGAAGGAAGAAGAAAGATACTAATGACCCAGCTGGTGCAATTGGTACGGTCTTTTGGTTTTGTTCCGAAGCGAACATAGAACATGGGCTATTGTGAATTTAGGATTCAATGATTCAAATTTTGGTTTGGATTTTTCCCTTTTGCGGATTTTGTTTTTTAGGGAGAATAGAGAGGGATACTTCTCATAGTTAGATGCAAGGTTTTAAATGTCGGATATCGGGTTCATGTCGGATGGCTGAAATACATGTCGGATAACGGAAATCGGGGATATATCGAGGGACATTGACTAAATATCGGATTGTCATATTGGGTAGTGCGCATATGTATAATATCATGTCCTAAATGTAATCTAAGCATTCATAAATTCAATATAAGCATAATTTATAAATTCTATAGACTAAACATATAAAAAAGTAAATAATATATGGATTTGGGTTCATAAATTCTTTCTATCGTGTTCATAAGAAACCCTTAAACATGAGAACAGGTCTAATAGGTTTGGGTATTTATCACTAAACTCAAACCCGATAATAAGAAACAGATCTTAAAAAAAATACCATATCGGTCGATTTTTCAAAGCTAAAAAATAGGCCGATATGCTCGATATGACCCACTGTTGTAAAAAGCGACAAATAGTGCTACACCGCGCCGCTAAAGAGGATCGCGACAAGGTTTGGCGAAGAAAACCGCTAAGCGCTCGAAACGCGCGAAATAACGCTGCTTTAGCGCTGAAAAGCGCTAAACCCGCTACAGGATGGGTAAATTCTTCCCCGAACCCGACCCGAACTAAATAAACAAAAACCAATCTCTTCCCAAATCCCGACCCCGACTGTGTTCTGTGCCCTAGCCGTCAGCGATTCCTTCCAGGGACTCCTTCCAGCGCCGCCTCTAGTTGACGCCGCCTCCAGTCGACGCCCCTTCGGTCGACGTCGATGGGATCTGAAGCTTTGGTGGGTCGGTAGGCTGAGGCGCAGTTGAGGGAGAGGAAGCGGGAGGAGGAGAATGAGAGGGAGCGGTCGAAGGCTGTGGAGGCGGAAATGCTTTCGGTGGTAGCAGCGGAGAGGCTGCGACGGCCGGTGGAGGAGGAGGTGAAGATGCTATCGGTGGTGGAACCGCATGAGGTGAAGATGCTTAGCCGCTGCCTTTTTTCCTTTTTTTCCACTGTCTCAAAGACGATGGTAAGAGTAGAGAGGTGAAGATGCTCAGCCGCTGCTTTTTTTTTTTTAACTCTCAAAGACTAAGGTGAGAGGAGAAAGCCCTGGCCCATAGGGTCGGGTGGGCTTTGAGTTTATACGATCTTTAAAATGTGGAAATGTGAAAACTCTTTCAAAATTTTTAAGTTCACCAAATAGGTTCACGTTAATGATTTATGTTTAGTATAATTAGATAATTATCAGTATAATCATTTAACCAAGTTGAAGAAATGGGGCAAATAACGGTCTTTTTATTAAACAGGTACGTTTTTTTCATTCTTTAATCTTTATAATTATAATCATTTGTTAATATTATTTAATTATTACACATCTATTTCATGTTTAGGCATCAAGTATGCATTTGTAGATTTTTTAGATTTTTATATGATTTTTCTTATTATTTAGAATATTTGAATATATTTATATTTGACCGCTATTTGACTGTGCGCTATTTGTCGCTATTTCGCCGCAATAGCGCGCGATAGCCTTAGCGGTACCTCGCCGCGACGCGCCGCGATCCGCTATCAACAACCTTGATATGACCTTAGTATTTCCGATTTGGTCCTGAAAACCGACATACGAGTTGAAAACGTCCATGTCGTGTCGGTCAAGCCCTCAAACCGATATGTCGACCGATATGTCGGCCGACATTTAAAACATTGGTTAGATGTCATGATAAGCAAGGGTAATAGCAATTTGGCAGTTTAAGAATTAAAAAAATATTGTCGTTACACCCTCACGCTCAGCAGGTCATTGAGATGAAGCAGTCACTTGTGTTATGTGAAAAATGGAGAAATTGGGAAAGGTTTCCGCTTTCATGTGACCTACCCTAAGTCAGACTGTAATTAATAACTTTTAGACAGAAAACGATCGATGTAACATTGAATAGTGTAAGCGAGGATTTTGTATGTTTGGGTCTTCTTCTTTTTCCTTCTTTTTTCTTTTTCCTTTTTTTTTTTGGTGTGGGGGGGGGCATGGCCCTCCCAGCCCACATGCAAATTGCCTAAGCCCTTGTGTACTTTGTGTTGATCCCTCATCCCCCCAAACTTCGGCAGCCCATGAGCCAAACAAAGCCCCCAAACCTAGGTCTTAAGCACAAAAAAAAGTTTGGGCCAAATCTCTAAAATTTGGTCTCAAAGTTCAAATGTTCAAACAATGAAAGTACTAACCCGAATCCATTGAGACCTCTCACCAAAAAAAATATTTGCAAACCCCTCTCCCTATTGCCTTGGTATGCGGTGGTTTTTCCATTTTTTTTGGGAATTTTTCCCTGTTAAATCTAAATTTGAAATCTAACTCAAATCAACCGATCACTCTCACCATTTTCCCAGAATTTAGGAGTTCCATTGAGTTTTGGGGCATTTTTTCACAGATCTAGAGGCAAGGTGTATTCACTAAACCTAAAGTTACAATTTTTTCCCCTTTCCATTCTTTCTCTTATTTTGTTATACTTACGATATACCATGACCAACAAATATTATTGTTTAATCATTTGTCATGATTATTGTCTTGTTTGCTTTATTTATTTAATTATATGTATTGGTTTGTTTGTTTTCTAAAACCTAAATTTAAATAGTTTATTTATTTATTTGATTATACCAATGTGTTGTATTTTTTTAATACGTTAGAGGTCAATTGATTTGTAGAAAAATATGTACCAAGTGGATAGAATAGTATTGGGGTCGGGGGGGTGGTCTAAGAACCTTCAAAAACCAGAAACTTTTGGGGCCCTCGAAGTTTGAATCTTGGCTATGCCACTGACTATGAGTTAAACTTTTTTCTTTAAAAAAAGGATTAGGGTCAGAGGTGGAGAAAAAAGTAGGGGCAAGAGAAAGAGAAGAATCATGAATTGGGATTAGATTTTTTTTTCTCAATACGCTCTAATATCAAGTTCAGTTGGGAAAGTAACTGGATCTCAAAGAGGCAGTCAAATTTTATTTATAGGAAAGCAAGGATACAATTACATAGTTTTCTAATACGCAAATTCTATTCATATGAAAGCAAACAGGATATAATTACATAGTTTTCCAATATATGACTAAAACAAAACTTCTCTAGGTTCTCAAATAAACTAGCTACTCTAAATATACCTCCTAAAAAATTAACCACCAATTAATTAATAAGCAAACTATTCAGTACAGACTGAACACTACATAATTGCTCCAGATATGGGTTTTGTTATCAAGTTATAATGTATAAATTGAAGACCTCTTGTGGTAGATTTTCACCAAGCAGCTTGAGCATGTTGGAGTTACCAATTACTTACATGTCATAGTCCATTGCAGAGCAGTCATTATACTACATGGTGATTGATGCAACAGAAGAATGCCTTCTTATACCAAGTCATGCTATGAGAGTACTGTAAAAGGACATGAGACCACAAAACGGGCAAGCTGCCCCCATAATAGTTGTTCGAATGTACGTTGTATCTAACAGTATGCTGGACTTCAGGCTATCAATATCATAGTTTAAGCCTTAAACTTAAGCAACTAGATGCCAGCAATAATTTATTTCAACACATTGCAGATAACAAACTAATAGGGTGCAGGGACAAATTCCTTATCGGTTAAGCATGTATGATCACGTGCATAAGACCACTATGGTATACAGAATCACTACGCTTAAGCAGAATCAAACAAAGAAAATACAAAAAGAATAGATGATAATCAGTTAAGTTCCTATCCATGACTAAGGAATGGACATGAGAAAACAACATCATCACAATGGATGCCACACATGTATAATCTTACTTCGGAGGCTTGAAAGATTCTCCAACTTGACGCCATAGCTTGCATGATGTCACCTGGAGATACAATTTGCCAGTTATTAGCAAAAGACATCATGGAACCATCTAGCAGATTTGTCTATGAAGCAATAAATTAATAGTAATTAATAGATACGTGGTAACTAAGACCTATATATCACATACAACAATTCAACGTCCCGATTTTCAGACAGTTACTAACCTTTTATGGTGTAATTCATCCAACCCTCATGTTTCTACATACAAGAAAGTTCTTCAAAAATTTAACAGAAGGGATTAAGGAATTTATAACGTGCAATCATGCATCAGTATAACACCATTGATCAGCTGGTCTCAAAGATTGTATTAAAAATGGTACCAACATGTTGCAGACTGCAGATACCCTCAGATAAAGATTTTTGGACAGTTAAATGGGAGTTGCTGTCGCTGACTAATGGAAAGCAACAGAAGGCATGTGCAATTGTAGAAGATTTGCATGTTGCTTCCCCCACACTGGGTGGCAGCGAAAGCAGTTTACAAGGAAAACAATAATAATAGTCCATCTAGTGCATTTTTTGGTTGGTTACCAGTACCACCGAATGACTGGGTTCAAAAATAATAATAATCATAATAGAAGTAGTAGGCCATAGTCTGGTGCATGAGAGATTCAAATCACAAACCTTGAGCCCCAGAGAGTACAATCACAACAGCAAATGTGACTGATATAACGCCATACCTTAAAGATGGTCTTCATTAATAGTTATTTCAAATAAAAGGGTGCGTATCAAGACAAAGAGAAATAAACAAGGTAAGACATAATGAATAACAAATAAAAAACTGGAAATTCAATTCCATAAGTAAGAGCACTGATTAGATCCTTAGAAATGGCAATCTAGTCAAAGCAAAGTCATCTTCTACAATAGCATATGAAATTATAGCATTATAGATATTTAGTTTGCAGGTAGATTAGCTCTTATCAATTATAATAGACAGCTCCTCCTTAGCATATACATACATGTCTATATGTGAGCATATAATTGGGTGAAAATTTTGAGAAGTATGGTGTTGGCTTGGATAATGAGACAAAAATAAACATGGTTCACAACAAGGAGAAGCGAACTACCTGATCATAACCGCCCAATCTTGTAACTGCTCTCCACAATCTAAGTAGAAGGGACAAATAAAAGAACGGTTACTCAACCTTAATAATGGCTACTCATAAGTCATAATTTGAACACAATATAGAATTACATTAACAAAAAAGAAACTTACTTGAGGCAATTTAGTCCTTCACCATAGAACTTTGGGGGTTTGAACTCCAAGCTCCTCTCTTTATGGAAATTCTCCAACTCTATCATAAAAGCAGCCTGCATCTCCTCTGATCCATCATCATCTCCCTCGAGAAACGGATCACAGTTAAATGACTGCGCTGGAGTCTCTGTTTGTTCAGGGTGATCCCCAGCTGCCTCTTCCTCTTTAAGATGTGTCTCATCCCTCGCCTCTTTTGAAGGGGTCCCATCAAACTGATTCTCTTTTGAATGAATATCTTTTGTCTCTGTAACTACCAATTTGTTTCCATTTTCTAACTGCTCCTTGGATGACTCTGGCTCTTCCTCAGTGTTCTTCTCATCGGAACCATCAGTTTGGCCGGAATCATTCGCTGGTGGCTCTATAGAAGTGTGGACTTCAGTGCCCTCTTGCGATTCTGAAGGTAACCTAGTATCATTAGTGATTTTTTCGGAGGGATTAGGCACAACTTGACTTTGTATAGGCCCAGAACCATTACCACCTGAATTACCCTCTGCATGCAATTCTGTATTTTCTTCTTCTACAGTATTACCTACCATAGATGGGAATTCTTCTTGTTTGCCTTCTTCCCACATTTTCTCTTTCTCTTGAATCTCTTCATTCGAAAGCTCTTGCATTTCTTGCTCGGAATCATTGATATTCCCTGGCTCACTCATTTTGACCACTACTCAACTTCAAACTATACGAACCTTTCTAATTCCTTGCAGAGAGTCCTTTTCTTAGTCCAAAACCCTAACTTTTCCAGCCTTTCACCAAAACCCTAAGTCTCGAAGATAAAGAAAAGAGAGGAACAATTGAACCCGCGGTTTTATCACAAAAACTACTCACCAAAACCCTGGTTTATCCTTCTCTGTAGCATTTACCCGCTCCGAGATTCAGCGAGTAAATACGAAATGAGCCCTAGGTTTCGTTTCACAGCGTTAACAGCGCGAATTCTAGAAAGAACCTATCTTTAGAACAAAACCCTAGAGGGCGAGGTTAAAGGACTTAGCTTTCTGGATATTCCGTACGCTGAGAGGGCTTCAGTTCTTGAGTTCGTCGAGAGCTTGCAGGAGTACCAATGGCGGATTAGGGTTTCGCCCAAGCGTTCAGGGAAAGAAAACCCAAGCGCTCAGGAAAAGATCGTTTCCGAGGAAAATAAGAAGAGGGCCTAATTGCAGAAAGGGTTTTTTAGATATTAGTCCCTTACATATGAGTTATTTTCCTATTAGTCCCTAAAATCTGAGTACTTTGATATTAGTCCCTCAAATTACCTTAAGTTGATGATATCAGTGCTTCTGTTAGGTTTTATGTTAAAAAACCTAAATCATGGTTGGGTTAATATTAACCATAGTTTGTAAGTTACCAAAATATCTTCATTATAATTCACCCCCACTAAATGACATTCCTCCTCTCTCTATCTCTAGTTCCCAAAATAAGACAAAAGAGTTTTTTTGCTCTAGTTTGATATCACCCTAATATCCCTCAAAATCACTTCTATATCAAGTCTAATCCCTCACTATAGACTGAAGAAGAATCCCCACGAGTCTGAAGAAGAAGAACCCTCCCTAAAATTCTTTCTTTACTTTCTATGGATTTTTTAAAGGGTTTCAATCATCTTATTTATAGGGGTTTATTTTTGTGTTTAGGGTTAGAAAATTTGTGGTTTATTGTGAATATTATGTAGTGATCAATTTAGCCCTAAATTTGGCCCAATTTGTAGTAGATGTTTGCTCATGAGATTTCGTTAATTTGTAGTAGATGTTTGCTCCTGAGATTTTGTTGTTCAATTAGGTTTATAATGAATTCTATTGTCTTATTATTATATGACTTCCTCAATTTTTTTTGCTGTTTAATGCCATTGTGAAAATGTGCATGCATGGTAGTTGATTAGAGTTTAAATATTTGGGATTTGTAGTAAATTTTATTAGGATTTAAAGATTTGAGGTTTGTGACAATGTGATTTCCTAGTTTCTACCCTTGCATGTTTTGATTTGAGTTTAAAGATTTGAGATTTGTAATAACTTTGGGGATGAATTAGGGTTTAATCTTGATTAGGGTTTAATTATGCAATGCTGAATTAATTTGATTAGAGTTTAAGTATGCAATGATGAATTTTAATTTGGTGAGGGGTATAATTGTCTCATAAATGCAACTGCTATGATAACAGAATATTCCCCTATAGATTTAATAGCCACTAGCTTGAGGGACTAGTATCAACAACTTAAAGTAATCTAAGGGGCTAATATAAAAATATTCAGATGTGAGGTAGGGTGGGCGTAGACTGGCTGGTTTCAGACGGGCGCAGGTGACCCGGCTGGGCGCGAGTTCAAGGTCGGTCCGGGAGCCTGACTCGAAGCCCCGGCTAGGTCAGAGTGGGCCGCGGTCTATTTCCTCTGATCTCCGGGTTCTAACGATTGGACTCAGCCAGCGCACGCGACGCCACCTAGGTCCAGGCCGTAATTTGCCTGACACCGCGGGCATGTGGGTTATGGGCCTGCCTATGGGGTTTTCATCCAAAAATTTTCCTACTTTGTACCTTTTTAATTATATTAAACTTATATTTATAATTATAAAAATATTTTTAATTTATATTTTAGTAATTTAAACTTGTATTAAACTATTGTTAAACTAGTATTAAACTTTTTAATCCATCTAGGTAGACAGTAGCGAGCTTAAAGATTGTTGTTTTCTTTCTTTGTAGGTCAAAAGGCCCCTGAGCCAAATACCTATGACCTTTTTACTTTGTTGGCAGTTAGCTTCAAACCCAAAGGGCTAAAAAAACAGCTAGTTGTAAACCTAAAGGACTTAAAGAATAATTAGCCTAACTAAAAAATATAACATGGGTCGGACGGGTCGGGCGTGGGTCAGGCCTATTTCTCTGATCCCGGGTCTGGGGCTAGACCTATCCCGGCCTGTGACCCGGGTATATCATGGTCCAGGTCGGGCCTGGCCCACTACGAGGCGGGTTGGGTCGTGACCCATCGCGAACTAGGCTGATTCAGCCCGCGAGTTGACCCGGCCCACGCTCAACCCTAATGTGAGGGACTAATACAAAATAGCTCAAATTTAAGGGTCTAATATCTAAAAAAACCTTGCAGAAAAAACATTGTGTTAGAGGTAACCTTACCTCATTATTATAAGAGAAAGGGCTAATTTAAAAAAAGCTTAGTTTCACTTAAAAATTCTATAGTTTCCCCTACTTCGCACTTGTATATCTTTGTTTGCTTTTGGCAGCAATACCCTAAAGTTCTCAAATCTTGCATTTGCATACCTTCGCTTGTTTTAGCAGAACTTATATGCCCCAAAGCTTTAAAAACATGCACTTAAATATTCTAAAGTTCTTAAAACTTACACTTAAATGCCCTCAAATATGCAAAATTGAGGGTTTTAGTGCAAGTTTTAAAATTTTTAAGATGCTTTAGTGCATGTTTTTTAAACTTTAGGGTATATAAATGCACGCTTTAAAACTTCAGGGTGTATAGGTGTCATAAAAATAAGTAAGGGTACATAAATACAAGTTTGAAAAACTTTTGGCTACATAAATGTTGCAAATAACAAGTGAGGGCATATAAGTGCAAAGTAGGAGAAACTATAGAGTATTTAAGTTCAGTTGAGCCTTAAAACCTCTCAACTATTGTAATTGTCAAAAAATCCTCCTAATTATTTTAATTTTAGAAAATTTCCTCAAGTTTGGCCATATTATTGACACCCCTTTGCTTGGAAATTTTGAGAAAACCCTTCTCAACTAAGGGCTACCTAAAGAAGCCCCTAAATCTTTCACACTCTTCTTACCAGTTATTTTAAAATATAAAATAACTGAAATACTATCTTATAAGTCAATTCATTTCAGTTATAAAAGAATCTTCGATCGGGATAAAAAAAAACTCCAACCAATTTTCAATGCTCTCTCTCTCTCATCACGAAAAAATTAGGTATTTTTTATGATTGCGGGATACTCTAGTCTTTTTTCATCACCTACTTGTCATGTGATATGTTATATCTAATGTTGTTACTTTTTGGAGAATCAAGTGAGAAAATGGAGGATTTAAACAAATTTCCAAAATTGAGGGGGCTTATTCACAATATCCTCAAACTTGAGGAGAGTTTTTTCAAATTAAAATAGGGGGGTTTCTAATATATCCTCCATAGTTTAAAAAAATAAAGTTGCAAGGATTATTTAAAATATGCTTGAACTTTAGGAGTTTTTCCTTATATTAAAATAGTTAAGAGGTACTTCTTAGACAACCCCACAATTGAAGGCATATATTTCTTAAAAAAAATCCAAATGAAAAAAGGCATTTCAGTAGGACCCAAAAGTTACATCAAGAAGTGAATGCAGTCACGGTAACGACACCGCAAGTATTAGTTAAACCTTTCCATTCGTAGATTTTGTTTAGCCTTTGGGTATTAGTCCATCTTTCGTATTATGAATTAACCCCTCAAATCATTAAAATTACCTTTCCCCTGCTCTTAGTCATTGTGAAACTAGTCTCTCAAATAATTGAAATGTCTATTTAGATCACTAAACCTTTTAGTTTTACGATGACACCCTCCAATCAATAGAAGAAATGGGGACGTTCTAGAATCGAGAGAATAAATGGGGATATGTTTCAGACCAGCAATGCGGAGGGTTGGAATGCTATACTTATCCTTGTGTGCCCCAGTCTGTTGTCGATAACATCCCACGTGTAGTACTAATACTCCAATTCAAGGGGCTAATTTCAAATAGCTTAGAAATAGAGGGGCATAACAATAAATTTAATGATTTAGGGGACTAATTTAAAGTCATTATGCATTTGGCAAAGGGTCAGTAGAAAGACAAGAGGTTTGATCCTTCACTAGCCTTTCAAACACTCGTTTAGATCGTTTCAGTAGTTAAGGCAAGTTAACCCGTCGATATGATGGATTAACTATTCTGCCTATTAAGGTGGTGCAGAACTTAACTCGTCTTTGTATGAGAGAGTACGTGAGGACACAGACCGTAATATTTTTAGTCCTTTGATATAGCTCTACTTTATTGTATTAGAGAGGCACTAGGGGCACATCCTCTATCACACTCCCAACCACACCACCTCTCTTGCTACAGTGCACGGGATCCACACGAGATTTTAAAATTAAAATCTCGTGTGGGCCCGTGCACTGTAGCAAGAGAGGTGGTGTGGTTGGGAGTGTGTTAAAGGGTGTGCCCCTATCATTATTTTTGTTTTAATGTTCGCATGGTTAGAGCTTTGATAAGTTAATATTTTATAATTTAAGTCACCGTGGCCACTCAAGAGCCTATATTATTTAATATTTCAATATAACCCCTTTCATATTTTTAAATTGAAATAAATCAGGATCCTTCGCTTAAAAATTTGTAATATTTAATTCATGTACACATTAGAGTGGAGCGTAATTTAATAATTTATAGTATTTAAATTAGAATAGTCGATCGACATATACGTAGTTTTAGGGGCGAGTTCTTTACATTCTTGATTATAGACAACGCCTGCAACTGATTACATTGACTAATAGCACTAGATCGTTGAATAGGCCCTATAATTAAATTTTCTTTGTATAACGGATATAATAAATATCATTTATGCAGTGTGCTGAGTGAGATGTTGTTATTAATGAGCTGTAGAAGTTCTCTATAATTAAGGCCATAGAAAGTGTTTTAAAAAAGGGAATGTAGGGGATCTTTTTTTTTTTACAGACTAGTTGAGATGCACGTGCAACGCACGTAATTGAATATCATGATTATTTAAATTGATAAAAAAGAGTAAAAAAAGAAAATAAAGTTTTTTTTATGATTGATCATCAACTCAATAATCTCTCTCTCAAATAAAATATTATCATTGTTTCCTTCAACCCAGATTGTGGCCACGTGATCTACTTTTTTTGAGTTATAAACAAATTAATCTAGTACAACATCTCTATTTATTAGTATCTTGAAGTCTTCAAAAGATGAGTGATCATTCAATTCACAAAGGAATTTTGTATATGAATTTACTTGCAATATGTCCGTTAAACTTTTAGTTGTGGTTTGACTCATATTCACGTTAACTTTTAGTTGTGATTTTACTCATATTTATATTATAAAATATTCTTATTCAATTTTATAGCTCATTCTCTGTACAAGTAAAACTGAAAGTATAAAGAATTATTTTCTTGT